CGAAACCTGGGCTTGTGCCCTGAGGAAGATTCGAACCGTGATATCCTGGTTCATAAGTCCTTGCTCAACCAATGAGCCATGCCAGCTGGGCATATTTGCACAATTCTTTATAACCATCATATGAAATGCATATGATACTCTCAAATATATCTTGTTCTTCTTACTTCTACTCTAACAATAGAGGATTTATTTTTAGAATGATGCTCAAATTTATTTTCCAAGTCCCCTTTTTCAATTAAACTATGTTTCCCTAAAGTAAATAAATTAAACTACTTAACCAGTTAGTATTCCAGTTACATAAGAAACAGGGAATGTTATAGTGAATTTAAAGAAATCTGTTCAGAAGTTTCTTTGCAAGTTATGTCATTATTGAGATAGAACATAAATATAACATGAATCATTGATTTTCAAATTGAGAAATTTTAGTTTCTGTATTCATCTTGTAAAAATATATTTACCTATGCTTGGCAATTTCCAATGGCAAATAATTATACTATGAGTTAATCTTAAAAAAAAGTGAATGATCCTTAAACTTACATTGAAATTAAGCAATAAAGTTGAAATTAGAAATATGAAATGCTTTTAAAGAAAAAAAAGGTATTTGAAACTAATGAAACAAGGTAACGAGTAAAATATACAGCTTAATCAGGTGAGCACTTTTTTTTGCAAAAATTTTCTTCCAGTTGGTCATCACTAAATCATTCTGAAAGCTGGCAGAATATTTTCCAACCCTAACTGAATTCACATTTTCTCCTTCCTGAAATGAGGTGGTTTTTTTTCTTCTACAAATGTAAAATTCCAAATAAAAGTTAACATGGAGTTCTGACTTTAACTCTACAGTCGCAGGATATTCTAAAAACTTAAAACCTTAAACTTGTTAACTTAAGTTTTTCATTGTAGGATAGAGATATATAATTTCTTCACTAAACAATTTGTTTTTAAATAAACTCTAACCTACTTCTTAAAAATCTAATATAGTAGCTGTTGAAAGAAATGACAAATACTGCACTTTAATTTTTAGATATACTGTTCTATATAATGTAATTTCAGTCTCCAAAGACACATGTGGGTCTGAAAAGTGCAATGCTCACTCTATGATATATGCCATGCTCACTACTTAAAATAATTGGATTTTACTTCTAAAATATAACTTTGGAGTAAATCTCATGTCCCTAAATATGTTTTGATTTTGCACCAATCCATAAAACGTCTCATTTCTCTTAATATTCATTTTATAGCAAAAGAGTATCATACTGAATCGAAAGTTTGTCTAGAATGATTCATATTTTTCTTGGTAGCTATCATGACTGAATTTAGATTATTAGGCTATGTGTACCAGAAATTGTATATGATGCCTATTCCAGGATTCTATTCCTATATCACAAACTACCCCAAAATTTAGCAGTTTGAAACAACATTTTCTCTTACAGTTCTGGAGGCCGATGGGTTCAGCTGGGCAGTTTTTGTTGACCACACCTCATATAGGTGTAGGGCTGTAGGCGAACCATGCCTGTGGCTGGAATCACTTAAAGGCTTCTTTACTCATAAATTTTATGCCTGGTCTGAGAGGGCTGGCAGAAAGAGCTGGAGCTGGTCAGGCACATGGCATATTTCTCCCTTCCTCTTACCTATACTTCCCTCTCCCCTACGCCACCCATGTGGCTTCTTCACATGGCTAGCCTGGGCTTCGTCATAGTCCTGGTTGTCTCAGGGTAGTTAGACTTCCTACATGGTGGCTGACTTCTCCTAAGAAAACATTTCAGGTTGCCTGAATGGAAACGGCAATGATTTTTATAAACCAGCCTCAGAAGTTTCAGGATGTCACTCCGCAGCATTCTGTTGGCCAAGCAGGTCACTAAGGTGAAGAGGAAGTAAGACCCAAACTTTCATTTGGAAGAGTTACAAAGAAATTATAACCATATTTAACTGACCACAATGCCTATTCAAAAATGGAATATTGCCAGATTTCTTTACATTTCTTTTTTCCTCCACCGTGAATTTGAGAGATCAATATTAGCATAAAACCCCTAAACTCAGGGCATGTCAGTTAGTTAGCTAATTTATTAATTGGTTACTAATTAATAACTAAGAAAAGCAATATGAAAACTCATATAAAATTTTTCTTTGTGCTCAATTTGACCCTTTGACAAAAACATTCTTTTTATAATAAATATTTTCAATGACACAGTTAAATTACTAATTATATAGGTTAATGGTGAGAAACTGTTCTCATGGCAAATGATTTCCTAAATCAGGGGTGGGGAACCTCTGGCCTGTAGGCCACAGAAAGCCTGAGAAATATTTAGTCTGGCCCTGCCAAGGCACCCACAGTTGGGACTCCAAATTTCATAGCAACATAAAGTCATATTAAGTGAACTAGAGGCCCAGTGCATGAATTTGTGCATGGGTGGGGTCCCTCGGGGTGGCCTGCAGATATTGGGCCCCAGCTCGCGCCCCCAGCCTCGCAGCCCCGCAGCCCTGCCTGGCACCCCGCCATGGCCTGGTGCTGCCCCCTCACCTGCTCTACCATCCCACCTGTGGGAGGATCAATTGGTGCTGGGGCCCCCACCCGGCTCCCTCAGTGGTTGGGAGCTGAGCGGTGGCCGTGCCCTCCACCGCCTCTGCTGCTCACAGTCTGCTGGGTGATCGGTGGGGTGATCGGGCCCCCACTCACACTCGCTTTGGCCTGGCACCACCTGCTCACCTGCTCCACCATCCCTCCACAGTCCCACTCTCTCTTGGTTGCTGACGGGGTGATCAGCAGGCAATCGGGCCTCTACTCACTCCCACCTTGGCCTGGAACTGTCTGCTCACTTGCTCTACCATCCCTCCACGGTCCCGCTCTCGTCAGGGCCCATCAGGGCCAGCAGCGCCTCCACTGCCATCTGCTGCCAGCGCCATATCACTGATGCCTGCCATGTTCCATGCCACTCCCTGGTGGTCAGCACACACCATAGTGAGCAGTTGAACTGGTCAAACTCCCAGGCAATTTGCATATTAGGCTTTTATTATATAGGATTATATTAACGCAATGGTGCTATAAATATTCAAATGGCCCTTGGCAGACAAAAGGTTCCTAAATAAACCAATGTTGCTTCTAGGTGTCTGTTTCAGTTATTTATTACTGCCCTAAACTTAATGGCTTTAGAGAATAATCATTTTATTTATTTTTTTATAATCATTTTATTGTATCTCATAAATCTGTATATCAGCATTTGGGGCAGGGCTAACCTGGGCAACTCTTCTCTACACAGCATTGCCTAGGGCCACTCAGTACTGTTCAGCTGCAGCTGGACTGGGTTGGAGGGTGCTGATAGCTTTACTCACATGCCTGACACCTCAGCCAACATCCTCCTCCTTTTGGTGAATTTTTAAGGTCTTTCCAGCAGACTAGTCAGTCTTCTCATATGAAGGCTCAGGGTTCCAAGGGCAAGTGTTCCAAAAGACATAAAAGGAAGCTGCCAATAACATAAGACCTGTGCAGAACACTGGCACCGCATCACTAATGCCAAATTCTCTTGGTCAAAATAGTCACAGAGAGTCTATCCAGATTCAGGGAGAGAAGGCAAAGGCCCCATCTCTTAATAAAAACATTTGCAACTATCTTTAATTTGCCACAGGGCCCATAAGGACCCAAATGAAGAGTATAAAACTTAGATTACCAGGGCCCTCCACAATATAACATGCCATTTCCTTAGCCTCATTTATCACTGGTTACTTTCCACTATCCAAAGGCCACCAGGACACACCAATAATTTAACAAACTGGGTTTATTATTCATTGCAGTAAAAGAAACTGAATACCATCAGGAACCGTGGGCATCTCAGCAAGGTGTTAGGACTTACAGAATTTGCACTTGTTTTCCATGACTTTGACTGTCTTACTAAATCTTACTTAAGAAGAAGAAGGACTAGTCCAAGGTAAGGTTGTCATTGGTAAGAATGCAGAAGTCATCATATTAGACTGGATCACGGTGATGTTTGGTCATTTTTGTGACTTAATGTTCATGTTTATCTATGTTCAGATATAATAATACCGTGATTGTACTCTTTTTTTGATCCATCGCCAACACTGAGTAATTTTGCCTGATGCTGATGTTCTGTGAAATTGTTTACACTCAGCAGGAGAACACTAATTCCTTGTCCAGGTTAGCTCTGGATATCAGAGGCTGCTTTTCTCTTCCACACTCGAAATATGCCATACTCATCTCTGCCCTCCATCGATACTTCTGTATCTTCAGGAATCCTTCCCCTAACACACTACTCAGTTTTCTCTCCAACAGCCTTTGTACTGGTTACTTGCGTTCATGCTTTGTTTCCCTAGATAAGATCATAGCACACATCTCTCTCAGCTCTGGTAGAGTACAGCAAATCACAAGCACCTAGTACTATATAGTCATAATGAAAGTGAAGGGAGAAGTTTATTGTTTTATAAACTAGAGTGCATGTGGTGAAACTGTTTCACTTAATTTAGTAAAAATCTTTCTGGAGCCCTGACCGGTTTGGCTCAGGACTTAAGAGTGTAGGCCCACTGACCTATGGAAGGGTCATGAGTTCCATTCCTGGTCAAGGGCAGGTACATCCTTATCTCATACCTCGGTTGCAGGTCAGTCTCTGGCTCTGATTGGGGCGCATTCGGGAGGCAACCAACCGATGTGTCTCTCTCAAGTAGATGTTCTCTCTCTCTCTCTCTCTCTCCTCCCCCACCCTCCTTTCCACTCTCTAAAAATCAATGGAAAAAAAATATCCTCAGGTGAGGATTAATAATAATAATAATAATAATCTTTCTAGAAAACAAGACGCCAAGAAACTTGTCAAGAACTCAGGTCTGAACCAATCAATCACTACTCATAGGAGGCAGTGTAGGTTCTGGTCTTCCTTGAGACTGGCCCAGGACTACATTTCCCATAATCCTTCAGGCTCGACATGGCGTCCAGTGGTTAGAACTACAACTCCCACAAAACCCGGCGCTCGCCACTTCACGCGATTTCGGAGAGCTCTGCCCCATTTCCCATCTCGCCTTTCGGTCCTTGAAGGAAGGGAACAAGGTCGTGAAAAAAACGGCTGGTGTGATACCGCCATATCTCCTGCTTCGGTTTCTGCACCTTCGCCGGCCTTCCAACAGGAAAATGTTGGGCCAAAGCATTCGGAGGTTCACAACCTCTGTGGTCCGTAGGAGCCACTATGAGGAGGGCCCAGGGAAGGTCAGTGTGGCAGGGCCGGGGTCGTTGGGGTGGGGGAGAGCGGACACCGGCCCGCTCCTCGCTGAACCCAGGGCCGCCTGTGGGCCGTGGGAAGGGAGACGGTCAGCCCGGAATTGAGCCTGGGACACCGACTAGCATTCGAGTTCCCCCTGGGCCGGTGGGGGGGGAAGCCCAGGACCCTGGGTGCGCGGCTTCGTCCAGGAAAGGAACGAGCAGGTGGAGCTGGAGGCCCCCTCCCCCGCCAGCACCTGCGGCGGGTCGTGGAGACCTTGTCGGCTGGTCGGACTAGAGGTCACCGGGAATGAATGAAGACGGCACGAGGGCCTGTGGTTGTGGGTCGAATCTTCTCTAACTAGTTGCTAAGTTAAGCCCTCGTTGGCCGAGGATGGGCTTAGCCTCGAGGGTGAACAGCCTGACCCGGGTGGTTAGTAGCAGCCCCCGAGGGTTCCCGGGGCTCCCGGCGCAGGCCTGCGTGCGACACGGCCTTGAGGGGGTGCCGCTTGGCTATGAAAAACCAGGCTCCGTGCTGCAGTTCGGTAGCCCGTGCCTCCTTTAACTAGGGCCTAGTTTTCAACAAATAGTAAACCAGAACAATGCTGTTTCCAAACTTACCTTTGGAGAGTATTTTTGATTTTCTAAAATAAAAGAGAAAGTTCACTATTTTACACCCGATTCTTAAGACCACTGCTCAACAGAGCCAGATTTTATTTTATTTTTTTACTTTCTAGTGTTATGTATGATGAAGGTCATAGGATTGGAAAGATAATGTTTTAAAAGGGTGCAATGATAGATTATGTAAAATGGGAAAATAGTCTATCCTCTGTGTACTTATTGGTGATCTATAAAGTCAGATGATGTGAAGCTCTTTTTGTTGCATGTTTTCTTTTCCCAACAGAATTTGCCATTTTCGGTGGAAAACAAGTGGCGGTTACTAGTCATGATGACTTTATACTTTGGATCAGGATTTGCTGCACCTTTTTTTATAGTAAGACACCAACTGCTTAAAAAATAAGGATGTTTAATCCAAGATACAGGTAATTAATTAATGGATTTCTAATTTTCCCAAAGCAGTGCTTTCCCTTTTATTTCTTCCTGTGTCCTCCACCTCTTCTTCCAAAAATATGTGTATATATTCCTGAAGTTAAGTGTGTATGTGGCATTGGTGAAGACAAGTTGATAAACCTAGCAACAAGTGTTTCTTCACCCGAAAGCCAGGGTTTATTTAGTACTATTGTTGGTTGGGTTTGCTTTATATTAATAATCTCATGTGGCTCCCTAGCAAGCCTGTGAAGTAGATGATTGGTACCTGATTGGAGACATTAAAAGTGTTAAGTTGCCCAATATTTCATAGCTAGTGGTGGTGGATCGGGATTTTTAGCCAGAGGTAACACTGTCTAACCAGGAAAGTTCTAGTAAACTGATTATTAGTCCATCTTGAGGGCAATATATTTTAATATATGCCCAGGGGAGTCTTGTGGCCTGGGATGTTAGCAGATTCCTGTGTGAGAAGAACAGATTTATTTAGTTTATTGTAACCAGAATTTCCCTCAAAAATGACACTAAGGAAGCTCTGTGGAGTAATTGGAATAAATTCCAAAGTATACTTCGGAAAATAAAGACTTTGTCATAGTTTAGAGGGAAAATTATTTGTCCAAGCCATTAATATGGAAAGAGTTTGGTGCATATGATGAAGCAAATCAGTATGAATGAAGTCATGATACTGTAAACGCTTTCTGATGTACCAGTCATAAACTGTGGTGGACAGACAATACATTGGTGAAATTACACAATTTCTGGTAAATGAATGGGATTTTTCACTACCATTAGTTTTTTGTGTGTTTTTATTCACAGATATGAAGAGGAGCATTTTAAGAGATGCAGTCTCTTTGAAAAATGGATCAAAATGTTGAACTCAACATACTAGATGTGTTTGTAAATAAACGTATGGCATGAATCCTTAATGCCTCTTCTCTGAAATACAAAATGTGATAAATTGAGCATATGTGTACCTTTTCGTTTGGGTATTATCCCTATATTAGATTCTTGACCAAAATATATGTGATTTAGCTTATGTCTTGGTCTTAAAATCTGATATTTAAGTTTGATTGCTAGGTCATGACCTTATTGGCAATTTATGTTATACATGCAAATTTGACTTTTAATTCTATACTAATTTTTATTTAAAGGGAGAGAAAAAAATTACTTTCAGTCTTCCCCTTTACTTTGAAGGAGTGCATTAGTTTTTCTGCCTCAGTGATAGTTACTTATGAGGAAAACCAGGGTTGTATACAGATTAATAAGTTCAAGAGTTTCATACTTTCCTCTAGGACTATTCCCTAAAACTAAAATTTTTGTCTTCATAAATGTGCCACTAGCCAATATTAGTCTTGTTTAGACTGAAAAGAAATACAATATTTGAAATGGAATGAAGTAGCATGTAAGGTAGAATATAGGAAATATCAATTTATTCTGATGCTTTGACTAGTAGAAATGGGTTAAAAGATAGCTCTAGTAATTGTACCCATGAATCGAATTTGAGTAATGAAAGGCGGCTTGAAAGTGTAGCAACTTCATTCCTAGGGGTATTAGGGAAAGAAAAGAGTAATTAGAAAGTATTTTCATCTCAATTTGGTCACTTTTGGAATACCTTTGATATTTACATTACAATTCATAACAGTAGCAAAATTACAGTTAAGAAGTAGCAACGAAAATAATTTTATGGTTGGGGGTCACCACAACATGAGGAACTGTATTAAAGGGTCAAGGCATTAGGAAGGTTGAGAACCACTGGTGTGTGGGGATGATTTCCATTTTGGACGTGTGGCAGTTAACTGGTAAGGAAGATTAATAAAAATATGTGAGAGAATTATTTTCCAACCTGCTTATTCCAGTTCAGGATTGCTGGTGGCTGGAGGCTATTTGGGCAGCTCAGGGTGCAAGGAATTCCATCCCAGCACACACCCACACTGTCCCACTGGCACAACTGAGATAAGCCAATTACCTTGCACATCTTCGGGATGAGGGAGGAAATCTGAGTACTACCCAGGAAAAACAAATGGGAAGAAGGTGCAAATCACACAATGGCGCTGACCCAGAATATTTTCTCATAACAGAAACATTCAGGGACCTGCTGTACATGAATGAAAAAAACCAGCAGTGGATTGCCCCATTTCCATAAAAAGGCTTCAGTGGGCTGGTTTTACTGTGTAAGAATATGGAGTGATGGAGGGTAGACAAATGTTCAGTTTTTATATTGGGATTCTCCAAAATAATAAGCAACCTGATGTGTGTAGATTTATTTTAAGGAATTAGCTCTTGCAAATGTGGAGGCTTGACAGGTCCAAAATGTGGTGGGGTCACTGAAGAGCTGCAGTTTAGTCCGAAGCATCTGTTGGAAGAATTCCCTCTTCCAGGGAAGTTTTTGTGTTTTTTTCTATTAAGGTCTTCAACTGAATGGACGAGGCTCACCCACATTATGAAGAAGAAAAACAAAAACACAGAAATACCATAGCAATGTTTGACCAATTATCTGAATACCATGGCCCAGCCAGTTTGACACAAAACTCACAATTTCATATTAGCTTGTGAATCCAGAATAAATTTTTTGTGTTGGATTGGATTTTTTAAAACTACAGAATATTTTGTAAAATATATATATATATATATTCCCCCTATGTACTAAAAAAAATAATTCAAGCTAAAATGCTCATGGTATAAATTCCTCAAGTTAATCCCAGAGCTGTTCTGCAGTTTTAGGTTGCTATTTTCAATTCCTCTAGCTGCAGTTCTAACCAGCTGTCCTGCAGATCCTTTAATAGTAGCAATGGAAAGATACCTGGAGTCAGTACTAAAATGCAAGTCGTCATAATAAGCTGTGACCATCAGTAAAATTCCAGCTTCTTAGCATGTCACCCTGGCCACACAGCTCCAATGGTTTTATGTACCATAACTTAGCTCAAGTGCCCTCTTTTCTGTAAAGCTTTTCCCTGCTGGTTCCTCCCCATTATCCCAAACATTTCACATGGAATGTGAAACCCAGGAAACAGCTTTATGATTACCTCAGCATGTACTGTAATTATTGATTTCCATACATATCTCCCATACCAGCTTGTGATCTTTCTGAGACCAGAGAAGCTTTTATTTATTCATGTATCTTGCAAGTATAATTTAGTGGTCAATGCACGGTTATTGAATGGATTGTTGAATTGAAGCCAAGAATGATAAAATTACCTGAAAAGAGCAAACCCCAGGCCTCCTAGTCCATACACCAAAATGGTGTATGTTTCAATGTTTTCTGAATATAAATGAACTTTTCCCAGGTAACTTGCTGAGTTGGGTTCTCCAAATATATATTGAAGTATTCCAATTACTGCAGTCTCAGATTATGAGTTTCTGCCAAAATGTAACGGTTATATCACTGATCATACCATTTACTCCATCCATATACTTTGTAGACAACCTTCCTTGATTAAAGAAAGTGTGTGTTAATTTGTATTCTAATAGTAGCTGTTGATCTTGCTGGTTTCAGACCAGCAAATAAGAAGCGCACTGGCTTAAAGAATTAGGGAATGTATTCTTTTCTATAACAAAAGACAGCTCAGTGAATTAATGGGCCTGTCTTAGCCTGTTGTTCCTAAACTATTTCCTTGTCATAAGACAACTGCTACAGTATAGGTATTCCATTCAGACTTGACAGTATTCAGAAAGAAAAATTACTGTTTCAAGTTATTTTTAAGAATGAAGACAGGCTTCCTAAAAACCCACCAGAAGACTCATTCACCATTTACTGTCCTTTTCTAAACATAACACTAGCCCATGGAATGGCAGGCACCACAGTCCTTAGATTTGATCAATTAGGTTTTACTCCCAACTCTTATGTGGAAGAAGGAACACGAAACAAATCAGGATTCTAATAGGGAGAAAAAAGTGGTGATTTGGTGTGCAAAAGACAGTACTTGCTGTAACTATTTTGTATAATACCCTGAAAAGATAAACCCAAGTGTAAAAATGTAATAAGCCTTTATTTTAGTATTGGAGGCCCGGCACACAAAATTTGTACACAGGTACAGTCCCTAGGCCTGGCCTGCAATCAGGGCCATCTTCCCCTGTGCCGGCCCTGGTTCCCCGTTTGCCATCAGGCGATCGGAGCCTGTCAGCCGCTGGGAGGGACCAAGAGGTTGGCCGGCAGGCCCCGTTCACCTGATGGGGGCCTGTGGGCTGGGGGCAGCTCCTGTGCTGAGTGTCTGCCCCCTGGTGGTCAGTGCACATCATAGCGACTGGTCGTTCTGCCGTTCAGTCGATTTGCATATTCATATTACCCTTTTATTGTATAGGATATCCAATAAATAAAGTCCATACCACAGGTCTTTAGAGTAGAACTTAACAGTAAGCTAATTATAGAAGAGATGAGAAATAGTGTTATACTTTTTTTTCTGTTTCTTTTCAATAGAATATAATTTATAGCAAGCAATGAAAGCTTTGACATGACTTATACTCTGTTCACGTCAACACTTTTTAAAAATTTTTTATTATAAAATAGTTTTGTTCCCATAGCTACTGAAATTTTATAAACCAGAAGGAATGTAGCCACTTAATTTCTATGTATTTGTATTGGTACCGTGAAGATTATTTTAGTGAGTATATCATTTATTGTTGATTTTATGGAGACTACTTGAATTCATATTTGAATGTGGATATAAGCCATTTGGGTCCTTCTCTAACCTGGTATACTAATCATTAGGGCTTATCAAAAACATGCCATTGTCTACTCTATGTGCATGGCAGAATTGAATTCTGTTCTCTTTGCTTTAACAAATGAAAATATGTGCAGAAATAATGTGTTTTACTTCATGGAAGCTTTAAAAGACTGTACAATTTACCAAGTTTCCTTCTTCCTACTCTTGGGATTATATCCTCTATCAGCCTTGGTTCCTGAGATACTAGTGAGTACAACCCTTTGTCAAATGTATAAAGTGAGCAAGAAACCTTCATTATTTTAAGACCCTGGGGCTTGAGGATTATTTGATAATGCAGCAAAACTTGGCCTACCCTCATTGAAATACTTGGGTATTCCATATGACCTTGAAAAGGATTACTTCTCTACATCTCTTGTTCTTCAGTTGTAGAATTCTGTGTCAACTCAATGATCTTCTAAGTACTCTTCCAATTTAAAATTCATCGTATCTACAGCGACAAATCTGGGTGCCACACAAAAGCCTGACTCAGGGTAGTAAGGAAAGATCTCCTTTCAGCATTATCAAGTGTGAACAGGGGCCAGAATGATGGAGGTAATTAGCTTTTGGCTTTTCAAGTGGTTTTTGAGCTGCAGTTTTGAGTTGCTACCTACCTGGCCTTTCCACCTAATCTCTCATTTTGATGTACTTTACTTGCCCATTGGACACTTTTGTGAAAATTAGAAAAATCAGTCCCTTCTAGGTTGACACAGCATCATGCCAGAACACACTTGTTCCCCTGTCCAATCACCTTCATCGTACGTTGTACATTGAAAAGCAGTACAACTCTCAGTAGCGTTCCTACACAAAGTCATCTCTTACTTGAGCTTTTCAGATAATCCCTGCTAAAATTTACTACCTCCTCCCAGTTTCCCCAGTCTGACAAAAGGCAGATATTACAATTATTTATACTGAATAATTACTCAGGATTCTGAGAGGGCTCCTTATTCTTTAGAATAAGCTTTGTGTGTTTTCTTTGTTGGATTCCACAACTTAGTACCATGCTTTGTAAATATTAGGTTTTCAATAGATACATTTAGATAGATGGAGGTAAGATGAATACTAATTGGGTTTAATAGCATTTCCAAGTATATTCGGAACCAGTATATGAAATTCTTTCCTGTTGCCTAGTAATAGGAGATGATCAGTTAAATACATATATTAAAAAATTTATTATGCTTATATCTTAATACTGATCTACTCAGATTAATATTATCAACAAAATTCCCACATTACATTCTAAGAGCTTTTGCTCAATGCAGTTCT